GGCGCAAGGCCGACAGCGACGACGACGACGAGGACGACGACGACAGCGACGAGCAGGCCGAGGACGACGACGAGGACGACGAGGACAAGGAGGACAAGAAAGGGAAGAAGGCAGAAGTCTGTGAGGACGAGGTGAGGGGTTTGTGTGCAGTGAGAGCTCCGTGCTCCCAGCGGTTCCGTGTGTGCCGCGGCGTGGCCCTGCCGCCCCAGCGCCAACGGGGCACGAAGAGCTCGGCCCTGGTGTCTTGGAGTTTTTATTAGTGTTTGTCTTGGTAGCTAACAAATAGAAGTGTAAAGTTCCGTTTACCATTCTCCATTGTGACTTCCCTGTGACCTTCCTGTGTGTTTCTTTCACCCCTTCTCTGGGGTTGTCACTGCCTGACTGTATTTGATCACAAGGTGATAAACTTTGCTAGTCAATACCAGCTCTGATACAGGAAGGATCACTGAAACCTTTGTAGCTCCTTGAGCTGAATTGTGGCTACAGCAGTCAGAGGAGTTTTAATAGTAGTGCACAGGCCTCTGTGGATGGGACCTGAGCCTGGACACAGGCAATCCTGAACACTGCTCATTAGTGCTCTGGGTGTTGCACTGTGCCAGGAAATGGTCCATTTATGTAAAGTCCAGAGTGAGGTTTCATGATGGCATGAACAATGTATCTGTCCAACTTCAGTGAACTCAGATCTTCATACAAACACCCTTTGCTAGAAACCCAACTAATTTCTAGGGGAGGAACAGCCCTTTGTGCTGTTGCTCTGCATCTATTAGAATGTGTATGAATTTAAGTGAATATCTTATATGAATAGCACAAAGGTCTTACACATAATTCAGAATTAAAAGTGAGTAATATTTAGATTTCTAATCTCAAATCCATCCCTTCATCTGTTTCCCTCTTGTACATTCTCCTGTTTTGTATCTTTCTCCAGTTGTGTTGTTCCTAGTCAAATATATTGAACAAGGGCACAATTTCAACTTTTCTTTTTCCTTAGAATTTGCATCTCCCTTTCTCTTACATGTCGTTACTGTAATAATGATAAGACATGTTAGTATGATTTCACCTGAAATAAATGTGGCCTAGCAGTATGTTTGGTGATTACAGGATGATGGGGACCAGACAGCAAGCGTTGAAGAACTAGAGAAGCAGATTGAGAAACTGACAAAGGTGAGAAATCTTCGTTATTCTACAAATTTGGTCACTGACTGTCACGAGTTAGAATGTTAACCATCATTTTCAGTGCTCCTAATACCAACTGAAATAAGGATCAGCTTTTGTTTCGTGAAAATATGAATGATGCTGCTGGTCATGCACCTGAATGGTGAGGTCAGACACTAGGTGAGTGTCACTCAACAGGCAGTTAGAAAGATGTTGATGATATATTTGCACTTCTGAGAATAAAGTGATCGAGGTTTTTTCAGTTGATGTACTTCTGATTGTTGACCTCAGAAAGCCATGACAGGCTTTGTGTAAGAGAAGCAATGGCTTCCATCATACAGTGGAGTGTGCTGCTTGTGCCCTCCTCCACCTGGCTCATTTCTGCAGCTCTGTGCCAAGCCAGTACAGAGCTGTCTGGGCCTCTTATTTTGAAAGCAGCAGCAATGCAATAGGTGGAGCAGCATAAAGGAGACAGGTAGAACTGCTGTAGATGGGGTCCTCGTGGCCCATGGTTTTATTCTTCCTGTTAGAAACTCTGTCATTTAAGACTTTGTGTTCTGGTTTCTCTCCTGTTCCAAACTGCAGTAAATTAGCAGCCCAGAATTCCCCCTGAATTCCAGCAGTGCCAGTTTAGCAGAGCACAAGTTGAATACCCAGTCTGAGGCTGTTGCTGGCCTCCCTCGGACAGCTGTGCTGTGTTTGGAGACAGAGTTTATTTTCCTGTGTAGTTGTTCTCATTCTTTTATGAACAGTTAGAGTACCTGATTAGTTTCCCCATCAGGAGCTGCACTGTCAACAGTTCTCAGGGCTCTGTTTGCCATTTGCTGATGCTCTATAATTGATAGGATTTCATCTGTTCTTGTGCAACAAAGTCTTTGATCTGCTGCTTTTTGAGAGTCAGGAGTTAAAACACAGGATCTACCACCGCAAAGTGTGTTTTTAGAGCAAGAGTGCTAACCTCAGGCTGATCCAGGAAGTGATTTAACTGATTTTTTTTGAAGGGAACTCTGTAAGTAAAATCATCAAGGCAGCAGTTTGAGTGGAGTATCCTGTCACACACAGCACCCCTGGCCTGTGTCTCTGGGAGCCTCCTCGTCTGACCCCTGGCCTGCTGCTCAGTCTGGCAGCCAGGTGTTTTCTGTTGCTGTGGCTGCTGAATGACAATGCTTTCGTTTTTCAAACCAGCAACAGAGCCAGTACAGAAAGAAGCTGTTCGAGGCTTCGCACTGCTTGCGCTCCATGATGTTCGGGCAGGACCGTTACCGGCGCCGGTACTGGATCCTGCCCCAGTGCGGGGGCATTTTTGTGGAGGGCATGGAGAGTGGTGAAGGTAAGGCCCACCAGGGAGTGGTGGCACACACAGGCATGCTGCCCAGCTCTGGGGGTGGGGGTTTTGTGCAGCAAAGAGAAATGGCAGAAAAATGTTTCTCCTTTCCATGAAAGGTAGATCTTTGGATCTTTCACACCTCCTGTGTTTGAGGAAAAGTTTGGCAACCAGCTGCTGCTTGTGGTACTTTAAATTGCCTGTCTGCTTAGCTATGTTGGAGAGTTCCAGTCATCATTTTGGGTGGATCTTTGAGTATTCAACTCTCCAGAGTGTTGACATTGTCTCACAGTCAAAGCTGTGAATGATTTTTATTGAAAGAGGTAAAATATTTAATGTTGTGTTTCAGTATTTGGGGAATACTTGACTTCTGGCAGGAATTTTGGTTCTCCTTTTTGTAGTTGGCTGTAAGTTTAATTAAATGATTTGCAAAGTAAGCTTAAGGCTGTGAACATTTGTGCCCCTTTGGTACAGAGGAGCTTTGAGGTAAAGCACGTGGAGTCTTGCAAAGAGAAAGCTGGAAGAGTGTATCCCTTTCACTGGCAAACTGCTCCGGACCTGGGTGAATCCTGTAGTATTTTAGCTA